GGTGAATTTGTCACGATGGGCTAACTGACCTGATCTCATGCTCATCTATCATCCTCCACTGGTGCCCCGCCAGCGTAAACCGTTGGCACAGGCGGGTGCACCATTCCTTTATTATCGATAAGAAAAAAATCTATACCTGTAAATAAAATTTGAAGTGTCTGTTTGTAATATTGAAATAACAGTTTTTTGTAACTTGCATATCAATAAATACATTTTTTACAATTTTTTCTGACTGTCTGTCTGTTTGTTTGTTTCGGCTAATCTCTGAAATAGCTGTACCGATTTTGACGGAACTTTTTTTGGCAGGTAGCAATAAGGACAAAACAAAAAAAAATCATCTGGGGAAAGGGGATTGTTAGTAATGTGGACTAATAACCCTATTGCTAGCAATGGACCATATCAAGTTAACCTACACGTAGTTCCTCCTGGAAATCATCGTGATAAATTCCTGGTGAATTTATCACGATGGGCTAACTGACCTGACCTTATGCTTATCCTATGATCTTTCGCTGGTGCCCCGACATCGTAAACCGTTAGAGTAAAGCACCATACCATCATCCATTAAAAAATACTCTTCTCCGCCCAGGTTTATGATTAAACATTATAAAATCATATATAAAGGAAGCTAACAGTTTATTTCTACTGTGAAGTGTTGTGGGTGGTTACATAATGTATCCATCAATTCCATTTCCCGCCATGTTATTGTTTACAACGAACCACGCTCGGTGATTGGTCGGAGTCGCGCATGCGCAATCGTTTTGTTCTCTCATTCGTCAAACTGCGAACGTCCCAGTTTGAAATTAGAAACATCTGGCTCGGGTAACTGATCCAAATATGGCACCTTATGGTAGGGATTTCTCTCAATTTTAAAACGGACGTAACTCCTGGTGCTACTGAAATGTATGTTAATAGATTATCATCTATACATATAAATAAAATTGGAGTGTCTGTTTGTAATATTGAAATAACCGTTTTTTACTACATGCATATGAATATAAATACGGTCTTTACACCAAAAAACCACTTTTTAAAATTTTTGTCTGTCTGTCTGTCGGTCTGTTTGTTCCGGCTAATTTCTGAAATGGCTGGACCGATTTTAACGGGGCTTTTTTTGGCAGGTAGCTGATGTAACAAGGAGTAACTTAGGCTACTTTTATTTTTAAAAAATCTTTTATTTTCGAAAAATAAAGTTAAATTCTACGCGGACGAAGTCGAGGGTCCAGCTAGTTATTATTATAGTTAAATAGGTTTTAAATACGAATAATTCTATGGTAAATAGTGGTATTTACCTCTCTCGACGGCTGCAACCTACAGATAGTCGAAACGTCGAGAGGTAAATTGTTTGCCATAAAATTATTCCTGTTAAAACCCGTTTAACTAATAATGTCTAGGTATATAAATACGTGAAGCAAAAATTGAATCCATTTTTAAGACATTTACGTGGATAAGTAGTACAGAATGCATTTTTTTTTTCAATCTTATATCTATATAAAATTCTCGTGTCACAGTTTTTGTTCCCATACTCCTCCGAAACGGCTTGACCGATTCTCATGAAATTTTGTTCTGAGAATCGGCCAACATCTATTTTTCATCGCCCTAAATGTTAGGGGTAGTCCACCCCTAATTTTTTTTTATTTTAAGGCAAAACAACGTTTCCCTGGACAGCTAGTAATGCATAAAAATTTAATAAACAATGGTCGAATTTCAGCCTCTGAACGATCTCTAGTAATATAAATTTGTTGTTAATCTTATTCTCATATAAAATATTTACCTAAGAGTTACGTATCCTTTTTACAAGATGTTGTACTTGTATATTATTTAATAACAGTTTTAATTTATTAACAATGTCAATATTGCGTAAGTATATAGTGAGAGTGTAAGGCTCATCAAATGGTTGTAAGGGAAAGAGAAAAAGTGATGGATGGACTGTGTGAAAGATGATACGGTAAAGGGAGTAAATAATGAGATGACTGCGAACAGGGATGAATGGAAGAAAAAACATTTTACGCCGACCACAAATACAATATGTCTACACAAACTATTACAGAATGGTGATACATATGAATGTGGATGGTAATAAGGGTTGGGGAAAGCCGAAAAAGAGATGGATGGACTGTGTGAAAGGTGATATGGTAAGAAAGGGAGTAAATAACGAGATGACTGCGAACAGGGATGAATGGAAGAGAAAAACATATTATGCCGACCACAAATAGGTATCATGTATCTACACAAGCTATTACATAGGAATGTGGATGGTAATAAGGGTTGAGGAAGGCCGAATAAGAAATGGATGGACAGTGTGAAAGATGATATGGTAAAGGGAACAAATAACGAGATGACTGCGAACAGGGATGAATGGAAGAAAAAAAACATATTATGCCGACCACAAATACAATATATCTACACAAGCTATTACAGAATGGTGATACATATGAATGTGGATGGTAATAAGGGTTGAGGAAGGCCGGAAAAGAATAGAATAGAATAGAATAGTATAGAATAGAAAATCATTTATTCAAATAAACTTACATTGAAGCATTTTTGAATAGTCATTATATTTTTTTAATCTACCGCTCATCCGAAAAGCTGTCTCATCACAAGAAGAACGAGCAAGAAGCTTGCGTGTTGCTCTTTTAAATAATTTTATTATTACTTTACATTTTTAAGTTTAAGTGTGTGAATAGAGAGAATAGAGATGGATGGACTGTGTGAAAGATGATATGGTAAGAAAGGGAGTAAATAACGCGATGACTGCGAACAGGGATGAATGGAAGAGAAAAACATATTACGCCGACCACAAATAAATGGGATAAGGAAGAAGCCGATGATGATGTAAGACTCATCAAAACATTACGTAATTTAAAAGTGTTTAATTTCCCACATTGTCATGTGAATTATTTTGTTATACCCAATAAATGTTTTTGTCATAACTCTTGTGAAATGCATTGGGATTGAACATTGTAATCAATGTTTGATTAACAATTAAAGACACTATGGTAATTTCCTTCGAAATCTATTAGGTGTTTGACGATGCGGTGGTCTAGTGGTTAAGTGCACCGCTTTACTTCCGATGGTCGCGGGTTCGATTCCTCGCACGGTGCAAACATTTGTATTCATGAGTATGACTGTTTGTATCGGTCTGGATGTTTTCTATGTATATTATGTATCTATTTATATACAAAAATATCTAAGTATTTATATCAGTTGTCTAGTACCCATAATACAAGCTCTGCTTACCGTGGGACTAGAAGGCGCTGTGTTAATTGTCCAGGGTTATTTAATTATTACTAATTGTATCTACATACGTTTTCCTATCTTAAATATCAATGTTGAATTGGTATTGGTATAAATAAAAAAAACCGTATATTTTTCTAATTTTCTTTTCTTTCTTAGTTCTTTTAAGAACCTTCTCTTGACAATAATAAAAATTTGCGTAATCGATTCAGCAGTTAACGCATGATAACCTGACCAAGGGATATAAATTCTTATTTATATCTATATAGATTTTTAACAATATTCCAATAAACTTATTATCACATAGAATTTTAAAAAGAAAAATCTGTTAGAAAATTTATATTTATGTTTATATACATAAATATAAATTTTTTACATTACATACCTGCTACGTTTAAGGCAATACTTCTAGGTTGACGTAATAGAATGGCAAATAAGCATTAAGGAAATTAAAATCACTGTAATAGATACACATGTTGTAGTCTATACATCTATACATATAAATAAAATTGGAGTGTCTGTTTGTAATATTGAAATAACAGTTTTTTACTACATGCATATTAATATAAATAACATTTTTTACAATTTTTGTCTGTCTGTCTGTTTGTTCCGGCTAATCTCTGAAATGACTGGACCGATTTTGACGGGACTTTTATTGACAGGAGCTGATGTAATAAGGAGTAACTTAGGCTACTTTTATTTAATAAGAATTAAGTTAAATACCACGCGGACAAAGTCGTGGGTACAGCTAGTTATAAATATAACAGCTTATTATAATGTACAAGTATATCAATCAGTAATGCATTAATAGAATTCATTAATTTCTAATTTAACAACAGTTAAATTGTTTCCCTAATTGGGTAAATTACTGTCAATATTAAAGGAAAATAAATGACAATGGACACGAAGAATTTCCAGAACATCAACAGGATGTCGCTTTAGTATATCTATAAACAAATACATGTATTTTTAAATTTATGAATATTACAACATGGGGTTTCTTAAGGACCTTATGGATGATAATGGAATGGTGCACCCGCCTGCGCTAACGGTTTACGCTGTGGGGCACAAATGGAGGGTAATAGGATGAGCAGGGCGTCAGCTTAGTTAGTACATTGTGGTTAATTCACCATGAATTTATCAGGATGGTTTCCAGGGGGAACTGCGTGTAGGTCAACCTGACATGGTACATTGTAGAAATGTAGAATGGGGTATAACTGTACCAGATTGTAAGGTGAAAGTAGCTTCTGGGTAAGCACGTTATATCTTAGGCCTTGCCATCATTTACCATCAGATGAGGTAAGACCAAGCGCAATCCTATTATTAATAAAAAATATATATATATTATATAAATAAGGAAAGGACCCATATTATACTGATACTAAATAGTCTGACAGTAGCAGAACAGAAGAGAGTAGAATAGAAAAAAAATTAATGGAAGAGAACTGAGAGAACAGAAAAACTAACAAATTGAGATAATATTCCCGTAGTTGTAGTTGTTTTACGTTTAAAAGAACATTTATTCGTAGCGTAGAAATAAAAATCGAGTACCACTGCATCGATGTATCATTACATATCTTAAACATCTCAATATATTATAGTTTACATATATGACAGTACGATATCATTTTTAACACTTGTAATTTATCTGTATAAATACATTAAATATGTTAATCACACTTTATTGCAGTGACAACAAAGATTGCAATATTATCTCTAAAAGTATTTCGATAAACATTACTTATTTACTTTTTTTATTGTTGCAGATAATAGGCGAAAGAGAATATGCAGTGAGACCTACGAGGCGGCCCTCCGAGGAACTGCAGACTGGACAACCTTTAGATGTAGTTGTACAACAGGTGAATATTACATATGAATTACTAGATTAAGTGTTGTAATAATCGAGATACTACAGAATGGGGTCGTATAATACATATAATTCTACCGGAAACAATTATCGAAAAACCGGAAAAAAGAGATATATATCTATATGCATATGGATATTTACAAAATTTCTCACAAACCAGTCAATTATTTGAGTTGTAGGTATAGTATGGAAGTCGTATTTTTATTTTTTAAAATTATAGCCAATAATTTTTTATTATATATGATAATATAATGTTGGACCCGATTTCGAGAGCACTTTTTACGCTGGCGGGACACCAGCGTAGGATGATAAGATGACGTCAAGTTAGTTGGCCTATGGATGGTTTCCAGGAGGAACCGCGTGAAGGCTATCAAAATGACTTAAATGATTATTAATATTATTAAGATTAAGATGGTGGGATGACCATGAGATATCATATTTTTTTTTTATGGATGATACTGGAATGGTTCTCCCGCCTGCGCTCACGGTTTACGCTGGCGGGGCACCAGTGGAGGATAATAAGATGAGCACTAAGAATTTATCACAATGGTTTCCTGGGGGAACCGCGTGGTGGTCAACCTGACATGGTACATTGCTAGCAATGGGATCATCAGTCCACGTTACTAACAATCCCATTTCCCTCCAGCCAAAACATTCTAAAACTTTGCAAAGCTAAAATTCATTAGAGTACTACGATTTTAAAATTTATAATATAATTCATTTATCTAGATATAATTATCTTATCTGCATGTCATATTAATGAATTTATTTACTCAGCACTTTAGATAAAATCATAATGCGCTTTAATTGACTCTATAAAATATAACAATCTTGACCTTTACGGTTGTAGTAATTTGTTCAATACAGATGATAATTAGAACCATTTCAGATGACCCCACACCCACTCTATGATAATCTTGTACTTGTTTATAATAGAGCACCTGTACTTATTCGTAATGTTACAGCTTTATTATTGACTAGCTGACCCGTGCAACTTCGTCAGCGTTTTCATTTCCCCACCTTTTGCAATATGCTTGATTGCAGCTCCGCTCCTATTGGTCGTAGCGTAATGGTATATAGCTTAAAGCCTTCCTCGACAAATGGACTAACCAACACTAAAAAAATTTTTCAATTCGAACCAGTAGTTCCTGAGATTAACGCGTTCAAATAAACAAACAAACTCTTCAGCTTTATGATAGTATAGTATAGATATTAAATAGTATAGACATCTGTATAATGTCATTAGTATTCATACATAAATTCTAAATACTTAAGTTATTTCTCACATTAGCCTTCTGTGTCTATACTCAGAAGGGAAAAGTCAGGGCACACCTATATTAGAAATAGAAATAATCTTTATACAAATAAACTCAATACAAGCACTTTTGAATAGTCATATTTGTTTTATTCTACCACTCATTCGTAACTAAGATTAATTACAAGAATAAGAGCAAGAAACTTGTGTGTTGCTCTTTTGATTAGATATTAAAATAAATAATTACACAATAACAAGGAAGAGGTATGCGACAATCAACATAGAAACCGCTACGCCCTCTTTCTTAGTGCAATCAGATAATATTGTCAGCGCTATGAATTATAAGTTTTTACAAAAACAGTATTAGTTAATTTTAACAATTATAACAACTGTTAGTTTATTTTAATACATGTACTTACAAAAATAACTAATATTATATTAATTAGTTATTTATGTAAGTACATGTATTAGAATAATTTAAAAAAAACCTTAAAAAATAATAGGTCAATCAATATTCAGTGTCTTTTTTTGTTCTGTTTTTCCCGTTTAAGGGAAAGGCAAAAGGACTCAGCCTATACAGTCATTGTCTCCGATAGATTCAGTGACTTTATCCTATTTGAAGTTAAGATATCCCGCATTTAGTTTTTAATTTTATCTGTTTGATAGAGAATAAGTATTAATTTAATAAATATATTTATCCGTTCATTCTATTCTAGAATTCAATTATAATTATTTAGTTACTTATATTTGTATTATTTTTTGTAGTACAGTAATTATTCGACATTGTAAACTTTAAAAGGATCTTGTTAGTACGTTTTATGCTTCATAAACTTGCCTATTCTAATTATCTATGGCTGTACAAAGACAAGCCTTGGTCTTTGACATGGCTTTATTATATCAAAGAGTATTGATTATATCAAAGAATGTTGTATATTTATTTTATAAATGGAGTCTTTTAACGATTTGGCCTTTAAGGATATTTTACGTGAAAGAATTAAATGGTCGAAGTGCTAAACAGTGTATTTCTAATTTGACATCAAATGAACAAGGAAGAAACTATTCAGAAATTATACAGATATCTATAAAAATACAACAATTATATAAAAGGGTGCGTTTCCGTGCATAACGCAAAATATAAAAAAATAGTATAATATATATTAAGTACAATAACAATAGTTGAAAATTCAAAGTGTACTATTTTTTTACTATATTCCAAGAGGGTTAGTAATGAAATGTTACAAGATATATACAAGCCTAAGTGGTCTCGGAGAGTGCGGTTTCAGAGGAGCTTCCTCCCGCGTACACTTAGATTGTGGAATGAACTACCTGTCGAGGTTTTCCCGAGATACTACAGCATGGGGTTTTTTAAGAAGGGTATATTAAGGTTTTTTAAGGGTCTGCAACACGCATGTGACTCCCCTGGTGTTTCAGGCGTCCATAGGCTATGATAACCGTCTACCATCAGATGGGCCGTATGCTTGTTTGCTACCTACGTGGTTTAAAAAAAAACTATATTGTGAGGTTAATATTTTTTTACAGAATCCTACTTCTAGAAAGTTCTTTAATGCAGATCTATACTAATATTATAATCTCTGATATTCCTTGATCCGATTTTGAATATTCTGCAAGTGTTGCCCAATTTAGAGGAAGGCTATAGACTATATAACATAACGTTACAACCAATAGAAGTGGAGCAGGATTGAAAAATCTTGCAAAAAACGGGAAAAACGTGACATAGACGAAATCAGCTAGTGAGACAAGTAATGATAGTCTATGGTCGAGGAATTAAACAGCCAATGTCATCTTTAATGAATACGAGATACCTGGTGTTTACAGAACGTTTGGCGGTCGCAAGTTTAATATTATGCAATTAGGTTTCCATGATTCTGAATAATAATACCGGAAGTAAGTTTTTTTTATACTACAACTAAGCTTCTAGCTGCTCGCCTGGCTTTGCACAGGTGTACATGTCTTATATCTATAAACCCTCCTCTTGAATTACTCTATCTATTAAAAAAGCCGCTTCAAATCCGTTGCGTAGTTTTACAGATTTAAGCATAGGGACGGACAGACAGCGTCAGCGACTTTGTTTTATACTATGTAATGATGGTGGCAAACAAGCATACGGCCCATCTGATGATAAATGGTTACCGTAGCCTATGGACGCCTGAGACACCAGAGGTGTTACATGCGCGTAACTGACTCTTAAGAAACCTTAATAATATATCATTCTTGAATAGTATAATATTAAATTATAAACTATTAACTGTGCTCGCAGTTTCACCTGCTTTAACTTTCCATAACATATATAGCCTATGTGTTATTCTGATGCGTAAGCTATTTTACAGTAAAGTTTAATCAAAATCCGTTCAGTAGTTTTTGCGTGAAATGGTAACAAACATCCATACTTACAATCTATAGCTATACATATAAATAAAATTGGAGTGTCTGTTTGTAATATTGAAATAACCATTTTTTACTTCATGTATATGAATATAAATACGGTTCAAATAACATTTTTTACAATTTTTGTCTGTCTGTTTGTTCCGGCTAATCTCTTAAATAACTGGACCGATTTTGACGGGACTTTTATTGGCAGGTAGCTGATGTAATAAGCTATAGAATTTTCTAAAATAAAAGTAGCCTAGTAGTACGTTTATTTTGGAAAAATAAAGTTAAATTCCACGCGGACGAAGTCGCGGGTACCGCGAGTAATATTAATAAGATACGTGATTTTATTCAAAAGTTGCACTATGTGGAAATAAAAAAACCCAGTTACAGTAATAAAGTTGTGGTTAATAAACCTTGACTAAAAATAAAAACCCTTGTAGAAATAGGGAAAACCTAAACGGATATTTATAGTAATAGTAGTATTACTGTTGTATGAATTAAAGAATTAAAGGATTTATTTAAACCAATACAAAATTAATAAAATAATATATTAAACTCCGTCCGTCTGTCACGCTTTTACGCCAAAACTAAGGAACCGATTTAAATGTTTAGTACACAGATTGTCTGTTCCCTGAAATTGTATATAGGTTATTTTTTATGTGGAAAAAAAGGGTTGTAATTGGTTGAAAGAGGAGATGAAAGGTTGGATGGAAGTATCGTCATTTTTAAAGCTAGAAATTTGAAACTTATTTTTTTATAAATAAATATAACGTTCAAAGATTGATAAAATTACCCTTAAGGGAGTAAAATGAAATAGCGGATCAAATTTTGTATGGAGATTCGTCATTTTTGAAGAATAGAATAGAATAGAAAATCATTTATTCAAATAAACTTAATTTAAGCACTTTTGAAGAAGTTGTTTTCATAGTCCTTTTTGGGTTAGATTGTTAAATATGAGACATCGCTGGCACACAGCTAGTTATTATTATATGTAGTGATACTTCAATAATTTTCAATACAGAAACTGTGTTTGTTAAACCCATAAGTACGAGAGGATGTAATATTCAAGTGTGTCTTTTGAACAGACACTTGAGTTGGTCAAGTAGAACACCGCCGGGCATCGAACCCGCGTTGCGCAACCGGGATACAGTTAGGAACAGGTTCCCGTCCCGTACGGTCTGTCGCTCGCGGATGGGATCCCATCTTGCAACAATTGCAACTGATATACGTATACAACTACATTATTATGTATATCTTATAAACGCTAAAGTTTGTGAGTATGGATGGATGTATGTTACTCTTTCACGCAAAAACTACTGAACAGATTTTGATGAAACTTTACAGTA